TCGCCTCGTAGCCTCGCAGCCTCCTCCTCGTCCTCCTCCTCCTCCTCTTCTCCGCAGCCATTTTGGCTCAAGATGCTTATTTAGCCCTGCCAAGAAGTGGATGCCGCTAGTCCGCGGCGGGCAAGGCTGTTCAGCCTGGCACTGATTGGCCTTTGTTGCGGGTTGGGCTCTCGCCGCTGCGTTTGTTTGCCCTTGCCGCGGGAGCTGGGCCCCCGCCTCTGTGTCTGGCCTTTACTTCGGGAGTTGGGCCCCCGAGAGCAGGCCATCATGTCGCGGCGATTCCGCGCCCCCCGGCGCCAAGGGCGCGCGCGGCTACGGAGATGGTTGGCGGTCCGACCACAAGGGTTCCCACTGAGTGCGTGGCTCGCGCGGGCACTGGGAGTTCGACAAGTACGGCAACTGGCGCTGCAGCAAGCGCGGGCCCAACTGCGTCGATGATCAAGTTGCGCCTGCTGCTTCTGGCGTTGCTTTCGCGAGCGAGCTCGAGCAGTTGCGCAAGAAGTTCCCGCGCTTGGCAGGTGCCTTGGAGGGGTTGGGCGCTGCTGTAGCGTCGGCGCCAGCGGCTCAGCCTGCGCCCCCTCCAGAGCCTGCTACAGAGAACGAGATTGAGAAGAAGGTTGCGGCCCAGCTGACTGCGCTTGCCAGGGAGGTTGAAGTCCAGTCCCGTACCGGGCGCATCGCGCAGAGCGACGTGGAGGCGAAGCTGGCGCCGGTCGTTCGCCATTGTGAAGCGCTTCGAGGAGCCGGGCATCACCGTCGTGAGGCTGTCCAACTGTTGGAGGAGAAGCAGAAGCTGCTACGCGAGGCTACGTTGGCGGAGGACGGGTTCGTGGAGGCCGGCTTTCGTCGGCAGTTGCGTGCTGAAGAAGATCGAGTACGCGCCAAGGCTGCCCGTGCGCTTCGCGAAGCGCAGGCGGCTGCTGCCATGGCGGTGGGCCGCGGGGCCGCGCCCGAGGTACCTGCTGCGGGTGGCCTACCTGGTGCTTCTCAAGTTGGAGGGCGGGCTGCTGTGGCGGCGCCTGCGGGCGGCGACGGGGGCGCCCCGGGCGGCTGTGGCCATGGCGGCGGTCGCCATGGCGGCGATGGCCGCCCACCTGCTCGCGTCGCTGGCGATGATCCTGCCGGCGCTCTTCGCCGTCTTGATCTGGCGTCGCCGGGTGAAGAAGGGCTCGAGCGCCGGTGTGCCGAGCACAACCAGAGGTTCGAGCATCGGCAGACGTTGCGACGCATGTACACCAATGTCAAGGACGATGACGTGGACTCGGAGATGGCTGCCTCTGAGCATGGCGATCATCACCGCGATGAGCTGGAAGGCCTCAGGAAGCGTGCTCGAGAGGGAGCTCTTGAGGCCTCGCAGCAGGAGCGGGTGGAGCGGCTGTTGGTCAAGCAAGCGCAGTGCAAGGCCGCCTAGCGATTGCGTGCAATTCGGGAAGATACAGCATTGAGCTTCGGGCGAGTGCTGCCGCAGGTATTACCTAGTGGCGGCGCGGCAGCTGGAGTCGGAGATCTTGCAGCGGCCCTGGCCGCAGCAGCTGAGGTGCCTGTTGACGCGAATGCGGCCGCCGACTCCTGTTCGGCGGCCGCCGCGCCTGCCGCTGCGGCGGCTGCAGCTCCTGAGCAGTCTGTTTAGCAGGCGCACTGGTGACCGCGGCGCTGCCACCAGTATCGACCTCTTGTTTGGCAATATCACGTCGTGGGGTGAGGTAGCTGTGCCGTTTGCCGTTGGCGTTCGATCCAGTTGCGATGGTTTCGGTTTCTTTCTGGCAGAGCATCACCTTAACCCCGAGAGGGTGAAGCTGGCAAAGAGGAGAGCCCACCAGTTGACATGGCGGCCCCACTTCATCCCCGCTACCCCTTCCCCTGGAGGGGGGGGGGGGGGCGCGCGGTGGGGCGGGTGCTGTTGTTCCCCGAGTTGTTTTCATTATCGCGGCGTTTCCTGTCCATGGCTGGGTCCGTGACGGACCTTGGCTCTGGTAGCCAGAGGCTGTGGTAGCTGTAGGAGTTGTGCATTCGGTGTCGGGCTTGGGCGTCTGCGGAGGGAACGTCGGGCGACCGCGCGGAATCTCGGAGTTCTTGGGCACGTTGTCGGCGCCATGGATTCTGATGGGGGGCTTCAACGTTCCAGCTGGTGTGTTGGATCTATCTGGTTTCCCTCGAATCGCCCGTGGACGCGCCTTGGCCCCGTCTCTGGTGGCGTTCACGTGCAGTCAGGGCCGTGGGTCGTTGATCGACAACGTCGCGGCATCCGAAGGTCTCGCCAGTTTCGCGCGCGTGGCCAAGTGCACGCCATCGCCTTTCAAGACGCACGCTTGCTTGCAGGTCTCGGTGGATCACCGGGCTGTTGAGCAGAAGTTGTGGAGACCAGTGAAGCGCATTCCTTTTCCTGGTTGTCCAGGTCCTG